TTCCCCCCCCCCCCCCCCCCCACCCCCGGGATTCCCGGGGCCTGGCAGTCACCCTGTATACGTGTTCCTGTCCGATCTGGCAAAATTCAAGGAGTTTTCAAGATTTTTTTCCTTGAAGGCAAATTCAAAGAGTTTTCAAGGAGATTTTTCCTTGAAATCAAATTCAAGCAGTTTTCAAGGACTCCTTGAATTCAATGAGGCCGCGGGAACCCTGTACTCCCCTGGGTAACCTGCACAAATTAGAAGCACTCCTTGAGGTGATCTACTTACAGCAGAACTGCTCAGACTCGTCACTGGCATCCAGGCAGTCGGCTACTCCATTACAGGTCTTGTCATAGGAGATACACCAGCGACTGTCCTCACACACAAAGTCATCCAGCCCACAATTCTCCACAAGGCCCACTGCGGAAAGAACATCAGGGGGAATTCACTGCACAGTTTCTCTCTCCTACATAAAATCAGAAGTTACTATGAGTACTCCAACTGCCAGGAGAGACACACAAAATTGATTCAATAGAAGCCCATAATTGCAACTTGATAGGAAAGTGACACAGCTGGTCATCGGAACTGCTCATTCAAAAAGTAGTCCGACAGTTTCTGTATTTCATGACATGGGATAATATCAATCTCCCTAATTCTGGATATTACACGATAATATCAACAGTACAACAATAACACTAAAAGATAATAGCAACAGTATAACAATAACTTCTACAATATATTTCAAACCACGACCACCTCTTCATAAGGCACCAACACACAATGGTTTCAGAAAAAGAACCTGCTGACCACTCACACACGCATCGCTTTCCATCGGGCAGTAGCTTCTTGTCTTTCCCACACTCACACATGGGCTGTCCATTATCAGCGATGGTGCAGATTTCAGCACACCCATAGGAGTTGTTATGACATGGGTCTACTGTACCTGGTGAAGGGAGGGGGAAGCACAATATTTTCAGTAGAGAACTAAGGAAGAATTGAAAAGAATCCAATTCATTGACCCACCCGATCCCGACTTCCACGATATGCAAGCTCAATATGCAATCCAGCTTAACACATATTTCCTCATTGTGTTGAGCATGTACTAACCTGGTTCAAACCAAACTGAACTATAATAACAAGCATAACAAACAGAGTAAACATTACTTTTTAGGTAAATTCAAAAGTTCAGATGTAAGGAAAGAATATTCAGGACTGAAGTACAAAAAAGAATATCTCTCTCTCTCTCTCTCTCTCTCTCTCTCTCTCTCTCTCTCTCTCTCTCTCTCTCTCT